AGCTGTCCTGAAACCATGGCTGTCACAAGACACTCTCGGTTAGCTCGTCTTTATTTTTGCCTGCGTTACTCTTCTAGCTATCCAGTTTTTTGGCAAGCAGAAAACAGCCGCTGTACAATCACAGCGCAACCGCGAGATAGCGTCGCGGAACAACCGCACTCGGCAGCCACCGGAGTATTCTGGCCACCGACCGATTCTGAATATTATGGCACTTCACGGTGTCAACCCCTTCAACATGTTATTCTAGACGCTCCGCGTAACCCCTATCAGTTTGGGTCTGCGTGTACTCCGGCAGGGTACCGGTCCGGCCCCACCTGCGGGTCCGGCCTGTGTTCGGTGGTTGCCCAATTGTGGCTGCCTCTCTTCCTAATTTGTTTTACTGGTGCATTTCGCGCGTTCTCGCGCCAATTATCTTGCGCTGTGCCCCAGCCTCGGTCATACCGCCCTCTGGACTTTTCCTTGCGGGCCGCAAATAAAAAAAAATAACCCCTATCAGCCCCTCCAGAAACGATACCTTGAAGAAATGCTTTGATTAAGAAAATTGGGTTGGATGTCGTACCCCAAGAAGGAGGATGGAGGATGGATGAGGCATCGGGGGGGAAGGAGGAGGAGACGGAGGAGTCGGGAGAGGGGGAAAGGGAGGAGGGAGAAAGAAGGATGAGGATTAGGCGGATGAGGAAGAGGAGGAAGGCGAACAGAAAGGCCAGACACCTCTGGGATGCTTGTCGGGGTCTCTTCGGATTTCTTCCGAAAATGTATTGGATTCCTCTCGTGGTGTCTTGGGGGTCTCTTGGCAGTCCCGGGGACCTCTTGGGGCGTCTTGGGTGGGTGCCTCTGGGGAACCTCTTGGGGCCTCGGGCATCTTGGGGGCCTCTTGGGAGCCTCCTGGGCACCTCTTGGGGCAGTTTTGGGGCACCCTTGGGAGCCTCGGGGGCCATATTGAGGCCATCTTGGAGGAGATCGATCAGAGGATGGGGGCTTCTCGATGAGGGCCCCGCCACCAGGAGGCCAACATGTGGCCACAAGCTTAGTAAGATCAGTGATTCGGGCCCTCTCGCCGAAGCCTTTTGGTGCGCCTGGGGAGCCTCCGGGGGGCCTTCTGGGGCCTCGTGAGGATCTCTCAGGAACCTCTTGGGGGCATTTTGGGGGCCTCTTGGGGCCTTGGGGGCCTCTTGGGGCCTCCTGGGCATCCGTTGGGGCCGTCTTGGGGTAGCCGTGGGAGTCTCGGGGGCCATCTTGTGGCCATCTTGGAGGAGATCGATCAAAGGATGGGTGCTCCATGATGACCCCCCCGGGAAGCCAAAATGTCGCCACAACCTCAGTACAAACAATGATTTTGGCCCTCTCGCCGAGGTTTCTTGGGGTGTCTTAGGTGCCAATGGGGGGCTTTTCGGGGCGCCTTGGAGCTCTCTATGGAGCCTCCTAGGGGCATCTTGGGGGCCTCTTGGGGGCCTCTCGGTGCATCCTGGGCACCTCTTGGGGTCATCTTGGGGCCACTTTGGAGCCTCGAGGGCAGCCAAGACTTAGGCATCTTACTGCGTTGCATCTTGTGTGCGGAGCCTCGAGGGCCATCTTCGGGCCACATGAAGGATATCGATCAAAGGAGGGGAGTTCCCCAATTAGGGTGCCCCCTCAGGAGGCCAACATGTGGCCACAACCTTCGTAACATCAGTGATTTGGTTCTTCTCGCCCAGGCCATCTTAACGGCTCAAACGACCAGTCGCCCCCCCTGTCCAGGTCCATGGGGGGGGTAGGGGGAGGGGTCAAGACACCCTCTTAGATAGCAATATGTCTAGCTCACTCCCACCCGCCCTCCCAACAAATAAGTATCACCCGAGCCTCAGCATGTTCAGCGGCCGTTTTTGGATGGGCAGCTACTGGGAACCAGAGCCGACCCCATGTGCGCGACGCGGGGGCGAGGTGCGCCACGCGTCCAGGCGCGCCACGCGCGCCAGGCACCCCTGGGGCCCGAGCGTGCCAAGCGCGGCCTGTGCGCCACGTTCGGGGCACGTGCAGAGTGTGTCAGGTGCGCCTGCGCACGTGACAGCACACATCGGGAAACATGTCGGCCCCACCATGCTTGTCGAAAACCACTGCCCATCATTGTGTCCAGTGGGCCTGCGCACAGCAGGCCAAACGCCACCAACCCCCTCATCGCCCCTGTCAAAAACCAGTTGGCAGTAATCACAGGGCGGCCGCGCATGATCCAGATTTACAGTCGAGGTGCAGTTTGTATTGTTTTTCGACAGGGATGGTGGCCCGACGCAGCAGGGAATATGCTGACACCCCCGCCGCCCCTGTCAAACAACAGTACTAGAATGTGGTCGCGGGCTTCAGGAAAATTACTCAGGACCTTGCCCCAAAGTGTGTCTAGTATTGTTCTTTGCAGGAATGGTTGGGGGGGCCATCGGGTTGGTTGCGCATAATCCGCATTTGGAGGCCTGCTGTGTAATGTTTTTTGACACGGGTGGTTGGGGGGTGAACATGGGGTCGGCATTATTCCTGGTGGGTTGCCGGTCGACTGGGGGAGGGGGTGTATAACTAGTTGGGAAAATGGTAAAACCCTCCGCGAAGGGGAAGAAGTGTGGGTTGGAAGAAGAAGAAGAAGAAGAATAATAAGAATAATAATAATAACAAGAATAAGCTCTCTAAACCGCCCACGCCCTGGAAGGATTGGTGGGATTTCCTTTCGATTATTTTCGAACTCCAACTCATCTGACTACATGTCTGACCGTCTCGGTATCTGGCCGCGAGGCAACTGGCAACCGCGTGGCAGCCAGAGCCATGCCCCCGCCACGCCTTCCAGGTTCTCAGTGGCTCCCCTCCCTGATTGGCTCCACCAGTCGGGACTGGCCGGTCCAGACCAGATGCCAGTCGGCGGGCGCCCCGGGTGCGCCCAGGCGGGCGTGGGCGCCCCCGCCGCCCACGGTCCACGGCGCGGGCCCCCGCTCATGCACGGCCACGGTCGGAGCGCGCCACCACAGGCGGACGGGCCCGGGTGCCCGCCCAGGTGCCGTAGCCGCCGCCGAGGAGGCTCGGCAAGCGCTGGTTCGCCGAGCATCCGACATTCGCAACCGCGACGCGCCGTGCCAGGCCGAGGCTCGCGCAGCGTGGTGGGCCGGGGTCAAGAGTCGCGGCCACGCAGCCATCGGTTCTACGCACATGGACCCCAACCAGTACCCGACCACCGTTCCCCACGGATCACTGAGTCCATTCCCCAATGGAATGAATCATCTTGGCGCACCTTCCTCTCGCAAGCGTAACCCCTCCCATGATCTCTCACAGCCCGGCCGTTCCCGACCCTGACCGCGCCCTACGGCTGCAGGTCCCCCACTCACGACCCCCTGCGGGATCACTTTCTGTTCCCCACTTGCGCCTCGCCCCCCTCTGGGGCCGCCGCCACCCCGCTCCTACGCTCCACCGTCGTGTACTGGGCCGCTGCAGCTCCCTGTCCCTTCCTGTCCCACCCTCTGGCCGCCTGCCTCGCACTGCCCACGAGATGCCTTTGTTCCTCCTCGCCAGTCGCTTGCTTTTGCATCCGCCTCGACTGCGCTGTGCTGCCTGACCTCGGCCTGTCACTGTTGCACTGCTCCCAGTCCGTTGTTTCCAACTGTCGGTTACCCTATTTTCCCTGCCCGCGTCCCCCCCACGGCTGCCCCCTCTCGAGGGTTGCTATTCGATGCCCCACGGGCGGATCCAGCTCCTCCACGCTGCGACAGCTGGCCTGGACCGCGCGCTGCTCTCCGCTTGATCTGCCCTCCAGCGCTTCCCCGCGCGCGTGGCCGCGGCGCCACAGAGTGTGTGTGTGTGTGTGTGTGTGTTTGTGTGTTGTGTGCGTGTGCGTGTGTTTGTGTGTATGTGTGTGTGTGTGTTTGTGTTTGTGTGTGCGTGTCTTACCCGGGAGGATCTCGCGCAATTTCGTCTCGCCCGGGCGCACGCCATGAGCCGACACCGAGATCCGGTTCCAGCGCGGCCGCTCCAAAGTCCGAGTGTGGCGAGCCTTGCGTCATGACGAGTCTTCGAGGCGACCACTGGATGTCGTGAGACGATGGGATGATGAGGGGGAAGGTAGGCGGAGGAATTCTGCAGAAGGATGATGGACATGATGGTGATGACGAGCATGAAGAGGAGGAGGAGCAGGAGGAGGAGGAGGAGGAAAGGAGCAGGAGCAGGAGCAGCAGCATGTGGAGGACGAGCTGGAGCGGGAGCAGGATCTGGAGCTGGAGGAAGAGGAGCTGGAGGAGGAGGAGGAGGAGGAGGAGGAGGAGGAGGAGGAGGTAGGAGCGAAGATGATGTCGGGCCGGGGGACCTGCCCTCCGCCCCCTCCCTCGCCCTCTCCCTCGGCCCTCTCTCCCTCGTCCCTCGCCCTCTCCCTCGTCCCTCGCCCTCTCCCGTGCCCTTCGTCCCTCGTCACCTTCCCTCGCCCTCTCCCGCGCCCTCTCCCTCGCCCCTCTCGTCCCTCTCCTAGCCCCCCGCCCCCTCCCGCACCCGGACCCTCGACCTCGCCCTCCGTAGCCGTTTCGGCTCAAGGCTCGGGTGGTGCAGGGGCCGTGCTGTTGGCCAGAGGCCCCGCGCCAGCCTCCTCCCCCTCCTCCCTCTCCTGCTCCTGCCGCTCGTGCTCCTCCTGTTCCTCCCGCCCGCCTTGCTCCTCCTGCTCCTCCTCGTCCTCCTCGTCCTTCTGCTCTTCTTCCTGTTGCTGCTCCTGCTCCTGCGCCTGCTCGGGAACCTGCTCAAACTTCACCCTCCTCCTCCTCCTCCTCCTACTTCTCCTCCTCTTCCACCTGCGTCCTCCTGATCCCCCTTGGGCTGCTGGCTAAGCCAAGCATCCAGCTTCTTGACAGACCCCCGGATGCCGGTGTAGCAAACATCATTTTCGTTCTCTTGTTCTTCAATCCCCCCGCTTCTCTTGCCGCTCACCCTTTCCCTCTTGACCCTCATCCTGTTCCTTCGCCCTCTGTTCTCCGTCCACCTCCTCCCTCCTCCTCCTCCTCCTCCTCCTCCTCCTCCTCCTCCTCCTCCTCCTCCTCCTTTATCCTCGCAATATTATTGCCGCCATGAGCGGGTCTGCCATGTTCGGTGTCCTGTCGGGCATCGTGAGTTCCACATCGGATGCCAGCGGCCGCATGGAGAAGTTCTCGGAGTTGGTGAAGACCTTAGTGAACCAGCACGACGTGCAGCAGCTGAAGGATTTGGTAGACTGCATGTTGGCCGAAGAGTCCACGTTCGCTCTTTTCGCAAGGCCCGTCTTGCAGCAGGTGGCAGAGCAGATGGACAAGCTTAAGAACCCAGAGCTGAAGGAGCTTGGCCTCCACACGCTCGAGAGGCTCAGGGGCAGGGTCGTGTCATTCGAGGAGGAGGACTTTGTCATCCGGGAGCTGCTGAGCGAGGTGTTCCAGGCAGAGGGTGACTGGAACGAAGCGGCGAAATGCCTCGCCGCTATCAATCTCGAGACGGGCACTCGGTGCCGCACCCCTCTGCAGAAAGCCGAGAAGTATGTGAAGATTGCGGAGCTTTACCTGGAGGACGAGGACCCCGTCGCTGCGGACACCTTCTGCGCCCGGGCTGCTATGGTGATGCACGAGGTCGAGGACGTTCCACTGAACCTGCGGTTCAAGGTCTGCCATGCTCGCATCATGGACAGCAAGCGGAAGTTCCTGGAGGCGGCGTCAAAGTACTGCGACCTGTCGCAGCAGACCCTGAACGGCCAGGTGCAGGAGGAGGATCTCCTCATGCTCCTGAAGAGCGCCGTGACGTGCGCCATCCTCGCCCCAGCGGGCCCACAGCGCTCCCGGATCCTGGCGCTGCTCTGCAAGGACGAGCGCATCAGAAGCGTGGAGCACCACGAGATTCTGCACAAGATGTTCTTGGAGCGGCTGATCCGAGGTAGCGAGATCCAGAAGTTTGAGCAGTCGCTGGTGCCGCACCAGAAGGCCCTGCTCGCGGACGGGCAGACCGTGCTCGAGAGGGCCGTGCTGCAGCACAACGTGCTGGCGGCGTCCCGCGTGTACAAGAACATACGGCTGCTTGACCTGGGGCAGCTGCTGGAGGTGCCGCCAGACCGGGCCGAGAAGATCGCGGCCAAGATGATCGCCGAGAGGCGGCTCGGCGGCTTCATCGACCAGAAGGGCGGGACCATCCACTTCCAGGGCAGCGACGAGAATCTTGAGCAGTGGGACCGGCACATCAGAAACGTCTGCAGCCAGGCGAGGGTGTGGGGGGGGGAAGGAGGATGGAGAGCGGGGAGGGACAAGCTAGGTGCGCTCGCGCCTCATCTGGCATCCGACCATTCCCTCCCATCCCTCCCCATTGAGCTGATTTGGATCTATCCGCGGGCGCGTATCATAGACGACCTGGAACTCAGCGACCAAAACAAACTATCGTGTTGTGCGCAATCGGAGAAGGGGAGTTGCGACCATAAGAGGAGGTGGCGGGTAATCGGGAGGATGAGCAGGAGATAAAGGAGGAGGATTTGGAAGGAGGAGGGCGGGCACGAACAGCAGCAGCAACGGGATCTGGAGCGGAAGGAGCGGGACGAGCAGGATGACCAGCGGAAGGAGGAGGAGGGGAAAGGAGGGGGGCGACAAAGATGAGGAAGGCCTCGGATCCAGAAAAGTGGCCCGTGGTGGGGCGAGAGCGCAATTCTGAACGACGGGAGTGGAGCACGATTTTGGAAGGACAGAGAACGTTCGGATTCGACAAACAGTTTAAGAAAGACCAAGACCAACTCGTCCACATCATGTATGTAACAAAGCAATACGCGGAGGGGGGGGATGATACTCTCGGTACATATTCAGGGGAGAGGAGGGTAGTAGCCATATGGTGCAATTGTGAAGGGTCGAGGGGCGACGAGGGTGGGCAGGCGCTGGAGAGAGGGGGGGAAGGGAAGAGGAGCGCCTGCACCTGGCAGGTGAACTCGGTCTTCCTCAAGATCAAGGACCAGTCCGCGATGAAGGACGTCTAGAGTCTAGAGGGGCCAGGCTGGGGGGTTCGCCGCGGGCGCGGGCCTGTACACGTGGCGGCTGCCCTTCAGCGGAAAAAGTTCCCCGCTCCACCCAGCCTGCTCACCATCCCAGAGGTCCTCAAGATCTCATATTGTTGTAATAGCATGTTTTTTTTGTATAGACATACATGTTCATGCTTTGGTCAATTGTTTATGGTGCTTAAAGCATATCGACGGAAGAGACCAGCATGAGCATAAACTCTCGGTGGTCCGCGCGGCTTCTCGGATCTGCGCCGGGCATCCCCGCCGGCGCCTCACGCGTCGCCCTGTGCGCTCTCCGCGTGCCAGGGAGGGGGGCCCGGCGCCGATCCAAGAAATCCACGCAGATCTCCGAAAGAGCAGGGGGGGTCTTCACGCGGTCCTGTCCGGGAGGGGAATGACCCGTGCACGTTTTTCACATTCGGTATCGTTTAACCGATCCCCATCCCCATCCCCATCGGCCCATCCCCTTCGAGACCCCCACCAAAATACAGTTGGGGATACACCCCTCGAAACCCGAAGGGAACGACCTACATTCCCATCTAGGGGGGTAAATCGGCCAGTGGGGCCCAGCCACGCCGCTGGGGATGGGGATCGGTTAAACGATACTCATACACCTCGCCCTCCCCGCTCCCCCCTTTAAATTCACCTCTGCCAGCCACTCCTACGCGGACGAGTTGTTCTGTCCTGCGGGCCGCCGAGCTGAGGGTCGCATGCACTCGCGGTCGCCGAGCCTCGACCAACGCTTCGTCCCGGATCGTCATCAAATGGCCCTGGCCCTCAGTTGCTGATGGGCCTGTTTTCCACCACCACCATAAGTTGGAGAGGGAGGGAGTCCTCCTCCTCCTCCTCCACCTCCACCTCCTCCTCCTCCGCCTTTTCCTCCTCGTCCTCCTCCTCCGCCTCCTCCTCCTCCTCGTCCTTCTCCTCCTCGTCCTCCTCATTATCCTCTCCACCTCCTTCCCCCCTCCCAAATATGGTGGTGGTGGTGCCCCTGGAGGCTTCGAGCTGCGAAATATGTTCGCCTCGTTTCTGTTTCCACCTGCTGCAGTTGCAGGTTTGCTCCTGTTCCTTTGCGTTCGTCGTCGTCCTCTGCTCGGGAAAACGTAAGACGCGTCTGTGCCAGAACTAGGGTTCGCTTCTTTGTTAAGGTCCTGGCTTGAATTTTGACGGTGCTGCCTCTGTCAGATGTTTACATCGGGATTTCCCATCATATTGCAAGCAACGTTCTTTCTTTGTTTCTTTGTCTGACGGCCCTTTCAGGAGTAGGTCCGTTCTTCCCCAACAACATCTGTTCTTACGACTACGTCTCCCCGATCTGCAAGACTGGGGCCTTCCGAGAAGACAGGGTGCCCCTTAGAAGCCCTCCCGCCGCCTGGGGAGTCCTCTAACGCAGGAACCTCCGAGCTCTCCTCAGAATGTCCGCCCACCTTTTGGCGCGGCGCGCCGCCACGTCCCGGCCGGCCAGTTGCCGGAGAGAAGTATGGCATCGCTCGAACGTGTACATGTTTCCATCGGCGAGGACCATCGATGAGAATGTTGGACCATTTGCAACAAAAACACACGCACGAAACCGACAGATGCACGGGGAATGGACGTCCGAGCGATGGCGAGGGAGGGGGAGAGGGGAGTCGGAGCGGGCGGGCGCTATAGTCCCTCAAAACGAGTCCCTCGGACCCTCCCTGGAGCCCATTTTTGCCGTGGCGGCACACGCGCCCCCATGCGCACCAGGAGCCCTCGAGTCGGCCACGTCGGCTTCGCTGTCGTCGTCCTCCCGGGCCCAGCCCGGAGCCGGAGACGAGGGGGCAGGGGGGGTCTGCAGCGGGCGCTCGCTCCCCTCGGGAGGGCTCTCCGCGCCTGGTCGGCGCCGAGCGCGCAGCGCCTGTGGCCCCTGGCCGCCACTGTCGCCGTCATCGCCGCCGCCGCAGTCATCGCCGCAGTTGTCGCCGCTGTCGCCGTGCTCCTCGCCGACATCGCCCTCGCCAGCGCCGGCCTTCGCCGTCACCGTCGCCGTCGTCCTCCCGGCCGGCCCCAGCCAGAGGGGAGGGGTGGGGGCGGCCTTTTTGTTGGGAGACGCGCTGGCACTCCCCTCCCGAGAGGGCGCCCCTGACCCAGCGCCTTTGCTCCGTGCTCTCCCCCCGCGCGCCGCCCACGAACGTCCCCGTCGTCGCCGACGCCGTCCCTCGCCAGGTCTGCGGCTTCGTGTCCATGGCCGCAGGCTCCACGCTGGTTCACTGGTGACCTTCCCCACAGGGAGAGGAGGAGGAGGCGGTGACGGAACCCTCGGGCCCAGACGCCCGTGGCAGTGCGCCAGCCCTAGGGGCCAGCAGCGATCGCAAAAACCGATATTGATTCCCATTACGTCGCCTGACATACCTCGATCATCTCTGTACACCGTCTTTTCTTGTACACCAATCACATCTAGATGATTTTTTCATTCAGCGCTACGCTGCACCATCCTGTGTCACCACGTACGGCAGCACGCGCCACCTCGGCTACGCATCTACTTCGTACGCCCACACAGCTAGCACCATTTACGTGGCCATTTTGCAGCGTTTTGCAAGCAATAACACCACGACTCCGCCGACTTCTGTCAACCCTGCTTGGCACCGCAGGGGGACAGACAAGCGAGCAGCGGCACGCACACTATTACGGGTAGCTCCAGCGCCAGTCCTCTTCGACCAACCAACCTACCAGCAGCTCCAAGCAACACAGCTTCTACTTAAGCAACATCACAGCGCACAACAGCAACCAAAACAGACAACCGACGCAAGTCACGGCCACACAAGCCCCCCAGGCCAAAGACAACGACAAGGGGAAACACCAACAGCGACAACAATACAGCAATGGCCAAGGTCCACCCTGGCAGCCTGTCGGGCTCAGCAGATACGCCCATTCAGCGCATCAGGGTCCGGCCTACGCAGCACAACAATAATACCAACAGAAAAAAGGAGACACCTACTACCAAGCAGCGCCGACCACACCATACTGGACACAACAGCCACGCATTCCAAAACTTCATAATAAACCATTCCAAGGCCCACACCAAAACAACCACCACCAACCACACCAACACAGAACAACGACTACGTACCGCAACCCAGTTTCGGCAGCATCCCAGACCACACTGCATACACCACACGAGAATACCAGCCTTCGATCCACAGCATGCCATAATCTTAGCACGACGACGTCGCGCACAAATACATGCTTAAGCCACACCTGCCGAAGTAGGAACACGGAGCACATCCAAGGCAATCGAATTTAGAGAGTTCGTTTCACAAGTCCTGGCACTGGAGAGTGCAGGGCAAGACGCAGACCAACTACGGCACGATCTGGCATTTTCAAAAAGACAGCTACTTGACCGAGAGCCAGGAGCCGAACGATTGCAATGCATCCGTCAGTTCAACGCCGATAACGCAGCTGGCACAAGCATCTCGGCAGTTACCCTGAAGCAAGCCCAGCAGCCCCACGAGGACAACACTCACAATATTTAGATGCATGCCAATCTTGAGAAGGAACTGATCAGCAACAGACAGCACACGCCCCGCCCACAATCGCGATCACCATGCGCACAAGACGTGCAACTGAACTCCGCCCGCGAGAGCGACCGCCATTGGTGCAACTCAAAGCCACCATACTCAACGCCGACACTGATCAGGAGACACAAGCTCAAGACACTACTCAAAGCAGCATATGGCATACGACTACCTCCAAGCCAACGGCTGGACACTTGCAGAACTCAAAGCAGCTCAACCAAGCATGGGCGAGGAGGCCAGAGCACAAACGCAATTATCACATACAGAAAGGGGCCATGCGACAACCACAAGCAGCAAGCGACCACCTGGCCAACCACTACCACGAAGCACGCGAGCAAAATCAAGCATCCTGGCATGTAGAATTGCACATGCAAGCCAGTAGGGCAATAGCATTGCGTCAGGAAGAAGCAGCGCAACGCGAAGCCGAGCACACCACAGGATAAAACGAACGAAGGCACCAGCATCTAGAGAGTCATACGGAACAAGCCCTCCGCTACCACGCACACATCAAGCATATACGAGCGCAGAACGACCAATGCGCCTCAACGCACCCCAGCAGAGAGAGCCACGTAAAAAGTCAGATGCGGCCTCTGCATGTTCACGGCAAGAGGTACGCGACAAGCAAGCCGCACGTCAAAACCAACGGTTTTGAATATGCAGCAGTTACGCGCAGGACATTTCCAGAGCAGAAGAGTCTACAGAAGAGCGTCGCCGTAGTCAGTTTCAGTTCAACCTATACATCAACACTACAGACTTCATTAAGAAGAGGTATTACCCAAACGTGGCCCATACATAATGGTGGCAGGGCAGAAGATGCCCGCGCGGGAGCTGGGCCTATCGCACGACGTAAGACAACCCAAATGGCACGCGCAACAGCGCCACAGCCATGAGGAACAATGCGCAGCAAACGTAGCACAACGAGCACAGGCGCAGGCGCCGTTGGACCAGGAAGTCGCCGCAGCGCAAGAGGCAGCGCAGACAGCGCATCGACACTAACGAGCAGAGAGCAACCTATTTGACAGATGCAACGAGTAAGAAGCAGCGCGCCTAATTATGGCGAGCTCGGCAGAACAACTCAAGAGGGCCATCCAGCACTACCAGCGGCGGCTTCTCACGGCAGAACAACGCCAGCAAGGCGTTGCACCGTGTGTGCAGAACCGTTAAACGGCAATGCACACATCCATGACATCACAAGAGTAATCTGACAAGTGGCGCAGAGAATAAGAGGCAGGGTTGACGACACTTCTACAACGAGCTACAGAAGGTCACAAGAGAAATACATTCGATCTCCAGACAGGGCAATATCAACTGGCGCCAGACCTCGACGGCGACATCGATGAATGGATTCGCCCTGACCGCAACATCGAGCACGAAAGACACATCGAAGAAGACGATAAATGATAACTACAGTGTCGACAACTACATCAATCACAAGTGGAAGACGAAACCAATCGCCTAGACAGAATTTGTCGAAGTCCCTTCGTACGAGGTAAGGAACAAGCAATGCGATCTGAG